AAATACACACCTACATACTTTTATAAAATTGATAACGTCTAGATATGTCACCAATCACTAATGTAATTTTATATTTACCTACTTGACAGGTTCAAAATAGCAATGGCGTGATATAATGAGGAACATATTTATAAATTGGCCTTCTAGTGGAAACCAAAATTTTTGTAATTTTAATTTATGATGAATAAACTCAAAATATAAGTATGTACTTTTTATCAGACTAAGAAAAATGTTTATCCATTTGGCAGATATTGACGAAAAGTTAGTCTGCAACATTAGTAGCTTCGAATACTTACGTGATTTAATCTCATTTGAGGCACTTTACTTTCTCCTTGTGCTAAGTAGATTACTTAAATCCACTAAAATACTATACGTATATACCCAGGTTTTTTTTGTCCGTATCTAAAATAAATTTTGAATGGTTATAACGAAAAATAACTCTTGCTCAACTGAAACTATAAATAGGTTGCGTTGCAATAGTCTCAACATTTGGTTATAAAAAGAATTACTTGAAGTAAGTATTTATATTAGGCGATTTTGGCATAATTTATTAATTAATACCTATGAATTTTTTCTGCTATAGACTAGGCAGATATTTGTAATAATCTCAAAAGTGTCGATTGTTGCATGAAATAGAGCATATTCTAACATTCACGCAACTTAATTGCAGCAACAAAATTGCATATTGTAACACAAAAAGTTGCTGTAATTTTATTACTATACTGTAGTAGTTTGATTGTACAATATATAAGTTTCGAACAAGTTTGTTCTATGTCCTAAACTAGATGGGAATGCATTGCTCAGTTATTACAAAAGGTCCAAATTATGTTAAATTTGGAAAAACATAGTGATTTGCATAGACAATTGTCGAATCCGACTTGGTTCCAACTGTTTTTTTTTTTTTTTCAAATAGATATGAAAAAACTAAATATGATATTTTTGTAGATAATTAGAAAACCAATTTCATTCATATTACACTGGTATGCCACAATTTTATTTTTGTTTTTGTTTTTATTATGTTGCACATTACATATTCAGTTTCTCAATTTTGTCTGCTATGCATCGTATTCCAGGTTTTATTAATTTGAAAATAGCATAGCACGTATTATGATTTACAGCATAACAACAGCAACAATATGAGAATAGAAATTAACAAAATGTGGCAAAAGAAAACGAAATAAGAATCTTTCCAAATAAAAATGACATACATATAAGGAAAAAATTGATGTCTTGGATTTTTAAAACTTTGAAAGATGGATAGCAACATCTGATTAAATTTTTACTAGCTAAATCTATAAATGTTTTAGACGAACTGTTTACAGGTTTACATGACAGATGTTAAATTTAATGAATTAAGATGGAGATAAAATGTCACATCATTTTAATTTAAGATACTCAAATTAATGGAAATTTTCAAAAATTTTAACAGATAATTTAATCCGAAGATACAGTTTCCGTAATGTACTCTTATATTCACCGACATTGAAAACATCCGTTAGTTGTTGTCTCATAAAATATTTTAATTGTAGCCAATTTTTGCATGAAGCTGTAGACAAATTATTGTTGCGACAATTCAACCGACAGAGATACGATGTTTACTATACGTTATGAAACAAAGAAGTAGAAAAGCGAAGAAAATGTCGTTAATGTTTTAAACATAGAAAGTAACTTTGCTATAGTTAAGTGTAGAATTGTAATAACATCCGTCGGTCAATAAAACTAAGTCGGTAATACCAGTGATATCATACAAACAAATTTAGGTCACACAGATTCCTCGACCTTTTGTATCAGAAGAAGTTAAGTTCATTGAATTTATTATAAGACTTGAAAATTTTGTAAAAAATAATCATCAAATACTTCCAATTAGATTTACATATATGTAAACAAATAAGTAAATTTTATAATCATAAAAGAGAAAAAGAGATGATGAATTGTTATACAGGGTGTTCTTTAAGTTTGTATCACTTCAGGGGTTGGTTTACTACTAAAGCCAATGGTTTTTGAGGTTTGAAATAATAAACAAAATACATTTTTTCAATTATATCTGAAAATATTTTAAAAAAGGTTAATCAAATTTAGGATACTAATTTCAATTAAAGGCAAAAACCTACTAAATTAGTATACAGATATGTCAACTAGTGTCGAAGATACCGGACGGTATGTCGTTATGTGCTCCAAAATTTCTACGCCACTGAATTATTTCGAAATTCGTAGGGAACATTTAATTCCTAATTATATTTAAAGGAAAAAAATGGTTTTCATTTCATTGGAAAACCGAGTCATTCTCATGTCATTATTTTTTAAATTGAAAATAAACTAATACATACCTATATGTCAATAAATTTCAATTGTTTCCAAAACTAGACGAAACACAAAAAATATGACTTTTTGGTTCAAAATATTATTTTAAATAGAGTGTAATCATCAGTAGTATAAAAAATCCAGAGTAAACTTTTTTTTGAGAATTGTGCCCCATGCTATTCCTTAGATAAATAAAAATTTCTGCTGCAATGATATTTTTCTATTTTTGATGATATAAGTATTTTATTTAAAATTTAAATAGTATTAACTCGGAAATTACTCGTTTTTCGTACAAAATTCAGAATATATTTTTTCTTTAAAATACACACAATCAAATGAAGTGGTTAAATTTCAGAAAAAAAACTCAGTGGCGTAGAAATTCTGGGGTTTGCAGTGACACTGCCTAGTTGACACATTTATATAATACTTCATCGAATTTTTGGTTTTCATTAGCTAAACCACTAGTTCAAGTTTCATTAATCTTTCCAAAACATCTTCAGACATTTTGAGAAAAATGTAATATGTATTTTTTTTATTTCAGCACCCTGTCGCTGGCAAACCAGTAACTTTAGGCCTTTCGTTTAGTTGACGTAAAATGACCCAAAGAAAAAACAGCTTCTATATCAATTATTTAAGTATACTTTTAACAAATTTAAAAATAAAGACAAGCGTACACTAATACATACATTTACATCAGGAAAATTGGCATAAATAAAAGAGAAACTCGAAAAAATTCCTATCCGGGATATTATTGTAAAATTGTCTAAAGGAACATAATACAAGACATCTCTCATCTCGTGAGTCAAAAAAAAAAACAAGAAAAGTGCCCATTTTTTAATTTGTTTATAACTATCGCATTTATTGTTAAAATTTTATAAAACCTATGACAAGTTGAGGGTTTTGTCATACTTTAAAAGTGTGCCAAAAGTGGGCGCTGTAGGTGCAATTGTTTTCGCACAATTCAATTTGTTTATGACGGGGGCTCCAAAAGTTATGAACTTTAAGCCTCTGTACAGACGTTAATTTTCAACCAAACATGATTCTGAAAGCGTCATTGCAATCTTAAAGACGTAATTAAGCGACCTATTAAAAAATATCACCGTTTTTTTGACATTAACATTCTCAAATTTTGCATTAAAAAAACGGGCGTTTTTCGCTTATAAACAATTTGAATAAAATTGTTGCTATTTATGCTACCTCACCGAAAATAGATTCATAGCTGGCAAAAAAATACAAATTTAAAAAAAGCACCCTTTACGACAATAGGAGCCAAGATAAAATATATTTTTTAAAATCGTAGCGCGTAAGTTCAAATTGATGCGCGCTGTAAAATTTTGCAATATCTCGGCTTCTATTCGTCGTAGAAACTTCTTTTTTTTTAACTGGGGTAGCTCGACGAAAAAATAACAGTGGGCATATTTACGAATTCGTAGAATAGCCCTGAACCCCATAAAAAATGCATCCTTTATACTTAATTTTTTTTAATTTACAAAAATGGCACAAAAGTTATTGTTAAACGAAATATTAATTAAAATTTCAATTTCGGAATTATTTTACTATTATTAAATAAATAAATGTAGCTATCCTTCTATGTTCCCTTAGACAATTTTACAATAATCTCGCGGATAGGACTTTTTTCGAGTAAAAATTTTATTTGCTTGGCCTAATTTAAGCACAGTAAGAGGCGACCTGTAATAACGGAATTTATTAAGACATAATAACCACCAAATATTTAGACCATTCACTACATTTAAATCTAAATAAATTTGACTTTAAAAATAAATTAAATGATTACATGATTTAAACATACTAATGCAATATGTTGCATCTTAAAAGTCATTGCTATACTTAATGCCTCCTGACACAAAGTGACCTACTAATCTGTAGGTTCTATGAAACCATAACTACCATCGCGCTAGGCGGAACGAACTTTTTGACCAATTATATTTTAGCAAACAACTACTCACGAGCATTGATATTGGGGATGCAGTTTAATGGCAGTCAAGGTATGTAGCCCGTGGAGTAGTTGTTTCACACAATCATACTAATGCAATAATTAAAAAACAGAAGCTATAACTACGAGTGTTTTAATAGTAACTCTATAAATTATAATTACATTTCATTTCAATTTTACTAAAATCTACTTACACAATGTTTTTTTTTAATTGAAATAACATTTTAGTCGTAATTAAATAAACGTATAGATTATAAAGAAAAATTGAATGAAAACAGTAGGTAATAAATATCTACCTATTATTTAATTTGTTTATCATTTCATCCAAGAAAAAATAAGTATTCAGCTATCTTTTCAACCGACATGTCAAATTAGTGGAAACGGAAAAAAAAAGTTTTTCTAAATTATTAATGAAATCTGATTACAATTCACACGATATTTGTTGAAATATAATTCTAAATAGACCCTGCGTTACTTTCCTTGAATTAACCGCATTCGACACCCGTGGTAGGAAGACATTGGCGGAAAATTTCAAAGCACGCCCCTGCCGCGGTAAATTGTTGCAGTAGTTCCGATAACAGAACTTCGTTGGCTTATTCTTTTTTTCTTCCAACCCGGAATTTCTACTTTATCGGCATTCATTGAAAATTGATTTAAAAATATTTTTGTATAAATATATTTATTTATTAATTAATTAATTAATTAATTTATTTATTTATTTATTTATTTATTTATTTATTTTCAGAATAAATCTGATATATATGCAGCTTACAAAACTGACAAATTTATAACGCAAGTATTGGCAAAGAGTGCACCATATGAATTTACCAACGCCAATAAAATATACGTTTCTGATGCTGTTCCTGTAAGAGACTGTGTTGTTAACGATTTTCCCGAAGAACTAGAAAAAAAGAATTTTAAAACAGATGCAGAAAGTGTCAGGCTCTCAATTAATGGATGGGTGGAAAATACAACCCATCACATGATCAAGGACTTGTTGCCTCGTGGAACAATAGATGAGACAACAGATCTGGTTTTGGTAAATGCTGCTTATTTCAAAGGAATATGGGAACACAAATTTAACCCTGATCTTACTAAACAAGAAATTTTTTATGTTAACCCTTCCAAGCAAATCATGGTGGATATGATGCACATAGAGGAGACTTTTAAACATGGTACTTTTTTATATTGTTTATAAGTTACTCATATTTCAAATTTGTGAAGTAATTGCACCTAAAAATTAAAATTTAGATCATTAGATAAACTGTACATACATTTTTTTAATTCTGAATTCTGAAACATATTAAAACTTTTAACATTAATTAGAATGTTGCTCCTATTTCTAAAACTACTTTACATTTACAGGTTATTTAAACAAATGATTAAGTATCTACTAATTATTTTTTTATTTCAGATGTTTCTGAGACTTTAGGTGCCCATATCCTTGAATTGCCTTACAAAGGAGACAACATCAGCATGTACATTCTTTTGCCTCCTTTTACCAATACTGAAGATTCAATTGAAGCCACACTGAAAAATTTAACATTAGAAAATTTCAGAAGCGTTGTTGAGAATGACAATTTAATTTCTAGAACAGTACAAGTTGCCTTACCAAAATTCAGTTTGGAAACCACGATAGAATTGACACCTGTAAGTATTTTATAAGTACGCAAATACGTTAATACTTACTAATCCTTCACTAGAAAGTTAGATGGAAAACTCTATGCCAATTTTGAATTCTTAGATTCAGAAGTTGATAATATGCCTAGCAGTTTCTTAGTAAATGCCCTCCCCATTTGCTGCAACTTTTCATGAGAAAAAAATACAAGATAAAATGTTATAGATATATTTATTTATAAGTGGAGCAATTTATATGGATACGTGTTTATAAGATTTCAATATCTAAAGCAATAAAGACTGCTAAGTACCAGCTTTTGACCCAATAAAGTGATCAAGAAATTGGTAATGATGTAATATAGAAATTTTAGTGGATTTCCTAGATGTAATAACCTGATGAAGAAATTGTAGACAATAGAACTGATTTTATCTAATGGTCAATGATATTTGGTGTATTTAGTGTAGCATTAGTATTAGGGATATTCAAAGACCAAATCAATCCTGTAACTCTTTTTGATAGATACCAGAAACCCCCTCTGCTACAACTTTACATTTAGTAGGTTTCTCTTTGGTTGTTTTTTTGTGTGTATTAACGGTTAATGTTATTGATTTGGTCTAGATATTTAATACACGGTCGATAGCCGTACGGTTTAAGGCGTCAGTACTTAAATCGATGCGTCGATCTGCCCGGGTTTCGAATCCCGCGGCCGGTAGACCATATATTAGCTATGCTTGTACGGAGGATTGGCACCCTCTGTGCAGGTATGGTAGGGTGGAAGAATGTTGGCTTGGGTCAATGTGAGAGATTGACACCGGTTGGCATTTGACCACCCCCCTAATTAATGAGGTTTTCCAGGTTTCCCTCATTCCTGCACTGAGTGGTGGTTAGGGCCTACCAACATAAGTCGTTCCTGGGCGCAAATGCGGCCTGCCTAATAATAATATGCCGCCTCCTCTCCCGCACAAGTCTCCGACTTATGGGCTAATTATCGTAGTTAGAATGAGGAGTAGAGATATTATTATTATTATAATATTTAGTTGTATAATTTAAGAAAAACGTAAATAAAAAAGTTGGATTTTTTATTATAGATGCTATTTATTGTCAGTATAAGTGCACCTATAAAATTTGAAAAAATGAAAAGTGGGAATATTTTGGCAAAATATTAGTTAAAAGAACTTTAAGAATATGTAACTCCATTCATATTGAGTTTTCGATAAGGTATCATAGCAACCCTTATCATTATTTTTATAGGTAGATACTCCTATTTGTTATCATAACGACCATTGCAATGAATGGTGGCATTTTCTTGATCTATTTATTAGGGTACCAATCTATTTTTCTCATTACTTACTACAAAGTGTCAAAAAATCTACTTTGCATAATAAAAAAAATACTTTACATGTTTGAAAACTGCTAAATAAAGATATGTATCGTTTTCATCCTGTTAAAAAAACTTTTTTTGAAGTATCTCCAATAAATGTTTCATTTGGAAAACGTTTCGGGTATCCCAAAAATCATGCAAGATTTGAATTTTGCGCCATTTGTGCGGTAAAGAGTTGCCAACGAAAATAAGACAGCGTAACAGCTAACAGTTCAGAGTTATTAAAAATAGAGCGTTATACGAAAGAAAAACGCGTTTTCATTGTTGAGCAATATTTTAAAAGCAATGAAGATGTGGCAGCTACAATTCGCAATTTTCGTACAAAATATGATCGGAATAGTGATTTAACTTCATCAACTATGAAGAAATTAATTAAAGAATTAAGGGAGCCTGGATCAATTAGAGATCTTAAATATTCTGGCTTTCCTTCAACGAGTCGTTCAACACAAAACATCGAATCAATTCGTGGGAGTGTTGCAGAACCAGAATCCAGGAACATCAATCCGACACCGTCACCAAAAATTGACATTTCGAGAAACTCCCTACAACATATTCTCATGAAAGATTTGCATCTTCATGTTTACAAAGTTCAATTGACTCAAGAACTGAAGCAGAGTGAAAATAGTTCGTTAAATGGATTTTGGAACAAGTGGATGCTCATTTTTTTCTTGATAACTTCGTTAATTGTCGTATTTGGGGTTCAGAACAATCCACGAGTGATTGTTGAAATACCATCCTTCTTCGAAAATGCGGCATTAACAGTTAATGGTGCTCGCTATCGGGATATGATAATCCAGTTTTTTGTGCCTAAATTGCAAGATATGGATGTAGAGGACGTGTAGATTCAACAAGACGGTGCCACATGCCATACAGCTCGAGAAACAATTTTATTACTTCACGAGTCAATTCCTGGTCATGTATCCCGTTTTGGTGATCAGAATTGGCCGCACAGACCATGCGATCTAACGCTGTTGAACTTTTTTAAGGCTTTTTTGAAGTCTAGGGTATATGCCAACAAGCCCACGACCATCCACGCCTTGAAGGAGGAAATCCAGCCGCATTTATCTAAAACTGTCATGGAAAATTTCGTCAAAGGAGTACAGGGTGATTCACTATATTTTGACTCCCCCTTTAACTTTTTTGTTTTAAGAGTTATAAAAAAATGTGAAATACAAAAGTTGCACGAGTTTTTGTGAATTTTTCGAAAATGATAGTAAAAAAGCAAATGAAGTCGAAACAAAATGGCTGCGGATGTTAACTTTGTTAAGTTAAATGGAACACCCTGTATATTTTTACATATTTGGATAGAACGTTCCCTGTCGAGCATAGCTATATAGGGTTTGTTGGATACATCTCTAACAATAAGCAAGATACTTTTAAAAAACGAAAACAAGGTTTTTTAATAAGAAAATAATACATTTTGTAATTGTTAGACCTCTTTCAGGCATTTCTGCCTATTTTCCAATTACGTAAGGATTTACAGAGTTAGTTATATTTTGACAGATCGAACATTGATACGGTCCAAAATACGTATAGGTAATTTAACGAAATCTCACTAATTAGGCCGTTAGAGGTCTAACTACTCATGGACATTATATGGTAGGTCGTGACAGTGACAGGTAGTATTGTCTTGACAACATTGTTATTGATTGACAGTAAGTATTATTATTTAATTAAAATAGGTTACACAGAAGTGGAAAATTATTTAGAATTAAAATAGAGTATGGAGAAGAACTTTGCTATATTTTAATTCCTATAATATTTCAATTTTCTACTTCTGTGTAACTCATTTTAATTAATACATTAATACAAACTGTCAAACAATAACAATTTTGTCATGACATTACCTATCACTGTCACGGCCTATCATATAACATTGTCCATGAGTAATTAAACCTTTCACGGCCTAATTATTTTGGACCGATATGTAAAAATATATTACAACTAAATCTGTAAATCCTTACGTAATTGGAAAATGGCAAAAATGCCTGAAAAGGGTTTAACAATTACGCAAGATGTCTTATTTTCTTAATAAAAAACCTTCTTTTCGTTTTTTAATAGTATCTTGCTTATTGTTAGCAATGTACCCAACAAACGCTACATGACTATGCTCGACAGGGAACGTTCTATTCAAATATGTAAAAATATACAGGGTGTTCCATTTAACTTAACGAAGTTAACATATCGCGGCCATTTTGTTTCGACTTCATTTGTTTTTCTACAATCATTTTCGAAAAATTCACAAAAACTCGTGCAAATTTTATATTTCACATTTTTTAATAACTCTTAAAACAAAAAAGTTAAATGGGAGTCAAAATATAATGAATCACCCTGTACATGTGTGCCAATAAAGCCGTGGAGGCCATTTACCCAATATACTATTCCATGCAAAACCCTATAGGTACTATAATATACATTATGAATGAACACAAAATTTATAATTTTTAATTAAAAACCTGTGTTTTCTGTCAAAACCTCTTGCATGAATTTTGGAACACCGTTTATAAGTAGAACTTAAATCTAGTTACAACTTGATGTTAAATAAGCAAAACAGCATTTCCTTGATATACACAATCATGAAGAATAACGGAAAAATGAGGGAGCACATTTTCACGTAACTGCTTAGCATACATATATGTAAGTAATAATTTACTTTAGTGTAGTTTTTAGTTTTCTAACCTACTAACCCCTTGTTTCCTTTCTTCTGGTAGATACTTGAAAGCCTGGGTGTTGGGAATCTCTTCAAAGGTGATGCCGACTTTAGCTCTTTAACGCCTAAAAAAATTTCCGTGGGTGAAGGCATTCACAAAGCAAGGATAGATATCAATGAACATGGATCACAAGCAGCAGCTGCCACAGCTATATTTTCGTGGAGAATGATGACTGACGATTTACCTATACCATTTAAATGCAACAGGCCTTTTATATATTTAATTTATAATGGAAAAACTCACACTATATTATTTACTGGCATCTTCAGATCACCCCCTTAAGAATATGTGTAATCAGTACAAAAAATTGTTAGTTTCATATATCAAACCAACACAGAAAGACACCTTTGTTATTGTATAATCGAAAGATACACACTACTACTACACCTTTAAAATTTTCTTCATTCAGATGAGAGAATACGGAATAATGTCAAATTAGCAAAAAGCCAGTACCTACCATATACTTATAATAAAGTGCCTTATTACACCTCATACTCTTTTTTATTTGCTGCTTTGTTAAATATGAATTAAAGTGTTCTTTAAATCAATCTTTACTTTGGAAACTTCTGAAGGCTGTTAAAGGTAAATCATATTAAAGGTAAATACCGCATATCCAATATAAACTGATGCATGTGGCATGTTTTAGTAGGCATTAGTAGGTTTTGTAACAAAATTTATTTCCAAAGTGACAAACTAACAATTATTTTTTTACGGAATAAATATCTATATATTTATTCCATTTGGTTTGTAGGTAAACAGAGTATTTCGTCATATGCTTCAATGCCAATAAAACCTCTTTTTAAGTTATATCAAGTTATTTTTTTTGTTTTAGGTTTTAGAATACATGGGGGTTGGAAACCTGTTTCAGCCAACATCTGACTTATCTGTAATATCAGACGAGAAGTTATCACTTACAGACGCGCTCCATAAAGCAAAAATTGAAGTGAACGAAGAAGGTACCAAAGCTGCAGCCGCAACTGTCTTGTTTAGTTTTAGGTCTAGCAGACCAGCAGAACCAGCGCAATTTATTTGCAATCATCCGTTTATCTACATCATTTACGAAAAAGTTCAAAAAGCAGTATTATTCGCTGGCATATTTAGAAGACCGCATTAAAGACTTAATTGTTAATGAACTTTTGTGATTTTTTTTGTTATTTATTAACTTTATTTTAGATTAGACTAGGAATTCCATTTTTCCTAGATGTAAAATTAATGTTTTTATGTTATATTTGTAAATCGTGATTAGTTTAATATGTCAGTACAAGTTCTGAATTCTTATTATTAAAGTAAAATATTATTAAAAGGTCATTGTTTTACTTTATTAAAATGCCATCAAATTTTCCTTCCAATTTAATAGGAATAGGAATGACAAAGTAAATAAGATAACAATTTCAACTAGGACATTTTTTCGGTAAAACGATACACTAAACCGATTTTCAACGAGTATACCTTTTTTATGTAAAGTTGTCCACGGAATCTAAAAATGAATTCCAAATGAATATTAGGTCATTGGCGTAGAAGTTGGGGTAGAAAAATTCCGTTTTATTACCCATTGTTACGCCACTGACCTACACAAATTTGTAAATTTTACAGTAAATTATGCACATATGTAAATGTTAACACCACACCAAATTTGAATCAATTCGTTATAACCTCAACTTTTTTATTTTTTGAGTTAGACAAAAATAGTTAAAGTAAAAGTTGTAGGGAATGTTTCTCTGAGTTTAACGAGTTTATGAAAAATAGAAATTATACAGGGCGTTCCAAAGATACGAACCATACTTATGTTTTATTAAATGGAACACTCTGTATATTATTCGATTTTCAAAATCTCTGTCTCTTCCTGATTCCAACAATGTATATATTTTGTAGGTTTACGAAATAATTTGCTCAATATTCTGCTTTGACAGACTGATTCAAGCCATAAAAAATAAATACCTATGTAGCAAAATCGATATGTAGAATAAATGTGTTTTCATAGAACCGAAAATTTGAGACATGTATTTTTCGTACTCCTTTGAAAATGGTGTATAACTTTTATAGTGTTGATGAGAAAAATTATATTGTTGAATGCTATCTTTCTGGTGAGAAGAATGCCATGTGCACTAGACGCGAGTCTGCACGAAGATTCTACGCAAAACGTATACCTACCTCATAAAATATATATCATATATCTATAACAAACGGAGAAATACTGGTACGGTATAAAATAAGGAAAAAATAAATATACCCCACAACGTTATAACTGAAAATGTGCAAGAAATGATTTTACTTTACTTTCAAGAAAACCCGAAACATTCGATTCAAGATGTTTCAAGGCACCTATTTGGAAATATCCTGGAGTGCGATTCAAAGAGTATTGAAAGTAAACAAATATAAACCATACTTTTTTTAGAGTATTTTCATGACCCAGTGATTAAATTGAAGGTAATTTGTTTGGGAATGGGGTCAGTTTTTAAAAAAAAAAACAGTTTATTGGTTAGTCGACGTTTCGGCTGTATTTAAGCCTTCTTCAGGACACTAAAATAATTACAATAAATAAACATACACATCATTATACATATTGACTATTAGGATTAAAACAGATTAAAATTCAATAATATTACAATGTTGAAGGATCAAGAACCAATCACAAGGAAACGTTTACGAAAATATAATAATAAATTTATCGGGTACTTACATCCAAAAAAGGTTTTCCGTGTAACAAATAATCTAAATAATGGGGAGTAAAATAGGTAGTATGTTGCTGTATCAAAATAGTACATTACTCGATGTTGATTAAAATATCTATGAATGAAACATATTAGAGGATTTAAGTGTGGAACAGAAAAAAGGGGGCCAAGACAAAAAACATTCAAAGAAATTGAAATGTGTATAAAACCAGAGCTATATTGTTGTTAAATGTCTGTGTCTCTTACTTCTGTCTATAAGATTAAAATACGATGTTTGTAAATTATCTATATCGCTGCGTTTGTTGACAGAGTTTTCTCGTTTTATATTAATCATTTCACTTAATAATCTCTTTTTCAAAATTGTCTGTTTATCAATGATTCGTGTAGAATCAAAATCAAAAGTATGTAATGTAGACAAACTGTGTTCCGCAAGAGCAGTTAAATTTTGTTTGCGTTTTAAGGGATTAAAAACATTGATTACATCCCTCTTATGTTCTGTTATCCTTGTTCTCAAATAACGACCTGTTTGGCCTATGTAGCACATTTCACAGTCATGGCAAGGAATTTGATAAACGACATTAGATTCCAAATTTGTAGGTGTTCTACTTTTAGTTTTTTAGAAATATTTCTTTCTAATTGTATTTTCGGCTTTCTGATTTACCTTTATATTGCCATTTGATAGTGTTGTTTGAAGACTTGGTCGAATGTCAACAAAAAAATAGCCAAGTATAATAACCATAAGAAGTTTCTTATTGGATGTAGAAGAAACAAAGTACTACCCCAACATATTATCAAACATTCAAAATCGATAGAACATCTTTTCTTAGACAATAACCCATTTGTCAATAAATGTAAGAGGATCTTAGAAACTTTTCAGAAGAAAATCTTAAATGTTGAAATCGGTTACTTGCATTGGAAATGTAAAAATCTATGTAATTAAAAAGAAAAAGTAATTTTTGAATTGAAAAATAAGATATCTACCGAAATTTTTGAACAGTATGAACATAAACAAATAAGTAGTTACAATACTTTATTTAAAAAAACTTCATTTACTCAAAAGAGAAAACTCAAAAAATGTATCTGTGAACAGAGGTATACTCATAGTTTTTGTTTGAATTTAAATGAAAAATGGTTTTTGAATTTTACAGATGTAGAGTTTCCATTAGAAGTTCAATATCTTTTAAGTTTAGGTGAAAAATTCAATTTACCATATACTGGGCGAGACTTACCATTAGAACAACTTATTATTGATACAGAATATATTTTAAGTCACTATGATTCAGAATCTGACAGAATTAATACTAGAAACAGAGTCATAAATATAATCACGAATTTTGTAAACTCAGTGTCTCACAAAAGATCTAACATACCATCCAAAAAAATTGTTTTTTAAAAATGTCTAAGTCAACTTCAAAATTTATAAAAGAACACAATGAATTATTAATTACAAAATCTGACAAGGGTAACAGCACAGTGATACTGAATGTGGATAATTATAATTTAAAAGCACAAGAATTGTTAAACATCTCTGAAGTTTACAGAAAAATAGACGTGGATCCAACAAACAAAGTCCAAAATAAATTGAATAAAACTTTAGATAGTTTTATCAAAAAAAATTATATAGATCAATTGACAGGAAAAAAGTTGAAATGTAACACAGGTGTTTTCCCAAAAATTTATTTTTTGCCTAAAATTCACAAGTTAGGTGTCCCTTTGAGACCTATAGTAAGTTTTATAGGTAGTCCTATCTATGAGCTAACAAAATATCTCTCTGAGTTATTAAAACATGCATTCCAGAGAGATGAGAGACATGTAAAGGACTCTTTTGATTTTGCAGAATTTATTAATAATAAAATAATTCCTGATAATTACATTTTGGTATCACTTGATGTTGTGTCTTTGTTCACAAATGTACCATTAAACTTAACAACACAACTTGTGAGACAAAAATGGAACTTCATTGAACAGAAAACGAAACTTCCTCAAGAAGAATTTTTACAGTTACTTGAATTTTGTTTTAATAATAATTATTTTAAATTCGATGAACAGTTTTACCAACAGATATCTGGCCTAGGCATGGGTAACTGTCTCTCACCAATTTGTTCTGACATAGTTATGGCTTCTCTACAGGAGACTTGCATAGATAAATTACCCTTTGAATTACCTTTCTTCAAACGGTATGTAGACGACATTGTTACCGCTATTCCCAAAGATACAGAGCAACTCCTTTTAGATACATTTAATAGTTTTCACAAAGACCTATGTTTCACCATAGAAGTTGAAAATGAAAAACATGAATTACCTTTTTTAGATATGATAATAATAAGAAATAATAATCTACTGATAACTGATTGGTATCACAAGCCCACTTTCTCAGAAAGATTTCTTAATTATAATTCAGAACATCCATTATCTCAAAAAATAAATATTATAAACAATTTAAAATTTCGCGCTAAAATGTTATCACATTCATCTTTCTGGCAAAAGAACATAAATTTAATCAAAACTTATTTACATCATAATAATTATCCTAAAAGCTTAGTAAATAAGATATTATCTAGTCAAGATCATCATGATAGAAAAGAACTAAATGAAGTGAAACATTTTAAGATTCCGTACATTAAAGGTATGTCTGAAAGGTTAGCTAAAACACTATCAAATGGCAATATAAAGGTAAATCAGAAAGCCGAAAATACAATTAGAAAGAAATATTTCTCAAAAACTAAAAGTAGAACACCTACAAATTTGGAATCTAATGTCGTTTATCAAATTCCTTGCCATGACTGTGAAAAGTGCTACATAGGCCAAACGGGTCGTTAT